CAAGAACGCAACTACAACGCCTAAGCTAATCGGATACGTCGACGCCGATCACGCGAGCGACTCCGACAACAGAAGCTCGCGCACCGGCTACATCTATCGTTTCGAACCCATCGGACCCATCTCCTAGCAGTCGAGCAAACAGGAGCTAATCGCGCTCTCCTCATCTGAAGCAGAATATATAGCACTCTGCTCAGCCACCAAGGAAGGACTCTACCTTCGCGAACTCCTGGAAGAAGCGAAGCTAGCTCAGTTACTCAGCTTCACCTTGTTATACGACAACCAGTCGGCAATTCGCATCGCCAACAAGAACGGCTTCGCGAACAGGACGAAACACATCGCCCTACGATTCTTCTTCGTGAAAGACGAGATCGAGAAGGGGAGACTCGAGCTGTCATACTGCCCCACGTCCGAGATGGCAGCTGATTACCTGACCAAGAAGCTCGGAAAACATAAGTTCGAGTACTGCATGCTGCTGACTTGACAGAGCCACGTCACCTGCAGCGACACTCCAGAAGCGAATAGGAGCGTTGGAAACAACTAATTCTAAGCGCCTCTGTCGTGTCGAAACACCAAGGCACAAGCGAAGCACAACATATCGCAGCATCAGCGAGTCTACCCTCGGAGGTTGAGCAACTGCTGGAGGTTACGCGAAAGTCAAAGGTCAGCGACCTTTAACCTGACAAGTACAGCGCGATAGCAAGGACACACAACTGACTCGTTACAGAGCAGTTGCCCGAGTCGTCACTGTATCGAACCGCAACAGCAACAGTAAAGCAGTTATTGTTAACAGGAATGGAGTGTTGGCCCCGCCCTCGCTTGGGGAACGCCGACGACTTGGTCGGATGCACGGGAGTAGCAGCCGACTGTTCACAGTGGGATAGCTGCTCGACAGGCTACGTCGAGCTGCAGCGGACCGCTGTGGTGTTGCTGTCGACCAAGGAGCTCGACAGCTGCAACTGACTGGTCTGTGCGACGGGTGGGCCGTCAGGGAGGCCGACGAAGCAGTCCGTCGACCTACAGTTCGACCGGGAGGTTGACAGAGCAGTTCTGGTCGACAGAAGGGGTCCGCCGACCAGGGGGTAGCTCGACGGGAGTTGTGGTCGACCAGGAGCGCCTGGTGGTCGACCAGAAGGACCCAGTGGTCGAGCGGAGGCACCTGGGGGTCGACCAGAGCACCAGGGGTCGACCAGGTCGACCGAGTAACCTGCTCGACGAGTTCTGCGAAGGCTCGCGAACGTCGTCAAGATCGCGATGGCGCAGGCGACTTCAGACTGTTATCCCGAAGTCGATGTGGCTCGTCAGGCGCAGACAACAGCCGACGGATGCCCAACGAGGCAAGTCGGGCCAATCGTCTGCGCACACCTGCGAGCGCGCGCACTGCTGTGTTCTACGGGGCACGCCGTCGACCTGCTTTGTTGGCAGGTCGCCCTTCTGCAGTGCTGGCGCGGCTCCTCTACACAATGCTGGCAGGCGGTCGACCGAGCTGCGCTGGCGGTCGACCAGGCTAGCTGCAGGGTTGCTAGGTGCCTGATGTAGTCATTATTGTCATTGCTTCTTCGATTATTCTGGAATTCTTAACTTTGCTAAGTGGAAACTCTTGCCAATTTCTCCCGTGAATGTGCAAGCACTAAGGAACCAAGCAAAGCTACGATCACCTCTAGTAGTTCGTGCCAACCCTGTAGTCCATCTCACTACCGCTGTAGAGTAAATCTCCGCGGTTATAACTGTATCCCTTCGTATTCCTTGTACGCTTATATAACCTTGTATCTCCTTGCTTTAATCAATCTACTTTGCCCTCACATACTAGCGCAAGGTGGTTCACAACTCTTTATTAAACGCTTCCACTATTACATCAGTCCTACCCAGAGTTCACCCCTGCAAAGATCCTTAGGGCTTTTTTCAACCCAACAGTTATTACTGTACGCGGGCATTGAGGGACTGGTGCTGATTTTAGCAAATGACAGCTTATTCATGGTGCGCTCATCGCGTCTGCCTTAGCTCTAGGCATAGGGGATCTGTTGGTTGGCAGCATGTCATTCTCAGTATCTCCTGTTTTTGCTTCTACGTGGCTCTACGAGTGAATTTATGCCAAGCTATTGCCGTGGGTGCTATGGCCATACCAACTACTGAATGTGCTGCTTGTTGAACAATTCTTCACAATGTCTCCAACTCCCATCCAGTTTTTGGGAAGATTTAGCATAGTAAAAGTATCTTGAGTGCCTCGAGGGCTTTTTCAAAACAAACTAACATATACGGATGTACAACTGTTTTCGTTCAACAAAGAACCTTTGCCATCGGGTATAAATTGCTCGCGCTGTGAAATAGCAAGAGGAATTTGACATAAATTGTAAGATCGAGCAACACGTTCTTCTGGCCTGACGCTTCCAAAGGTTGGCACTCAGGCAAGTGGAGAGGCGAGGCATGACAACGACGTGTCACTCGTGATAATGGCAGCCATACACTACCTATGGTGTTCTCTGTCCTTGGATCCGCCAAACCCAAGCCAAGCCAATTCTGGTCGTCTGGCACTGTACACATAATTTAATCGTTTTTTGTACACTGTACACATGGTCCGCGGTATTTTCACACCCTCCAGTTCACACCCCTGTGTATTCGTTCTTGATGTACCCGGAAATTAAGGGATGTTTCGAACAGTTTAGTTTATGGATTTAACTATTCAGACTTCGCTTAAGAGTCAGCGGGAAAATATAAACATGGTCGCAGCAGACGATCCAGTCTTTACGTTGCGGTCACAAAGTCACACTTTCACAAAAATGGAAACATTAAAATGCCACGGATAGCCTCTAGTTCCTTGGGTGTCTGATCCCCAAAGCCAAAAAAGGTTCAAATGGGCTTTAACCCAAAACTGACGGGGTGTGAAATTGGCGCGGGCTAGGTGCGTCCCTTTAGTTTTTTCCACCACCCAAGATTCTATGTATCTGGGGGCTACAATATCAGACACGGCAATGAGAATGCCGAATCAGAGAGTTATGACGTGGTGCAGTTCGCCTCGATCTCACGCAGTCGGTGGTCGATCGGATCAGATTGCGAGCGATCAGGTGTGATCGCACCGATCTGACGCAACCATCGATCGCTTCCCGCGCCGCGCGATTTCATCCTATGATTTTCGTCGAAACAAAACGGAGCATCAGCTAGTAGTTTGTACTTTCCAGCTCTAGTTTGGCGAAATCAAGCGAGTACATCCGTATGCCGAAATTACAGTGTTGCCCCATTACGCGTGTCACATTCATTTTCATTGGGGCTGCGTTGACTGGCTCAGAGGTTCAGCCTCGAAAGTTCGACTGTCGCGAGAAGTTTTGTAGCAGCGAGCAGAAGCGAGTTCTCGCGACATATCGCGCACAGTCGCCATTCGCCGAACCTATCAATCGCGATCGGTTTCAATCGATTGCATCAGATTGAGGCAATCGATCGTGATCGATTGTGATCTCAAATGCGATCGGCAGATTGCCCTCGATTACCCAAAAGTACCCTTTGGACCTTCTCGGAAATAGGGTTTTGCGGGATCGAGACAATCAGACTCAGATCGCCCTGATCTGAATCACGTCTTATTATTTTCGTTTTCTCAAGTCGCATCTACCCTGTTGTTCCACTATATCTCTGGAAGTTGAAGGGGAATGAGCATGCGTTCACACTGCTGTCAAATCACGTTTCCTCTTCTTTGCCGGATCGTTCAGGCATTCTAAGAGTCGTTGGTCGTATCTATTTGACAGTTATGTACAAATGTTCTTGCTTAGAGTCCCGGTAAAAAACACACGCGATGCGGGCCTTTGTGGAAAACCCTTCAAACCCCAGGCAAACGGGACCTTATAGTCCTATTTTCAGTAAAATTGCATGGAAATCGGTTTGGCTTCGCTGCTAGTTGTTGTTTTCTGTCATATAGGTACCATTCGGAATGCGCTTGATTCAACTTCTCGTCGCAATGTTCTCCCCGTTGATCAATGTTGCACGACAGACGGGCAGAATAAACAAAATCGGTTATGATTTATGACTTGATGAAAGGATATATAATTCGTTTTTGCCTGTCATCGTCGAGCGCGCCGTGAAACGCTCGACGGAATTTAGAAGCAAGCGCGGTCAAGAGAAATAATCAGAAATAGCTTCCAAAGTAAATATGTAAATATATTCTCTTACATTTTCCGGGGTTGGTTCGATTTGGGCCCTCTGATTGGCTGCGGAACTGATCCACAGTCAAGCTGCAAAATTTCCCGCCAAAAACGGGACTGTAGAGGAGGGGCTACACCTACGACAAACATGAAAAATCTACACGACGGAGAAAATGAACTCTCTTAGGAAAGGCTTCAAAGCCAGAACATCTGTAGTCTAAAAGTAGCATTTCTATCTGTTAGGATTCGCCCAGAAGTCCAAAGTACAGTGTCAAGGTACGTGTACAGCTGATGCTCACCCCATGCACGCGAAATTGCCATGCACTGGATGGAAACGCTGCCCCCGAGCAGGAAACCCCCGCTTGCTGCTCCCACAGTACAAGCCCCCGGGGTGGCAGGAAACAGTGCGCGCGACTCGGACAGTTTAACACGTGCAGTCCCGAACAACCAACGCCAACCGTGCTGTGCCCCGTTTCCAGGCCAGGAGCCTGCACCGCGAAAGTGAGTGGACGAAACGAACGAGGCCTCGTGAACGCAATCGCCAATCCACCCCGCCACCAAGGCACGGATCATTGTGCGTGTAACAGACAACGTGGGCAAATTCACGATCCCACGTGTAATCTGCCTGTGCTGGGTACAAGCGTTATTGTAGCCAGGCATTGTTCTCATACACCACGTCAGACAATTGAACGTAAGGTTACCAACCTAAAACGTCAAATGTGCACGCCAGGTGCATGGAACGAACTCCAACCACACGTACAGTTCCAAGCCCCAAAGAACAGACCCCAACCTTGTCCCAGGTGAATTCGAACTCAGGATAAAATGTGAACAACAATTTCACTAAGACAGTTAGTTCACTCACCTCATCCTGACACAATGCCCCGATTTAATCGACGGGAACAGCTGCCGCTCCACATCAAGCGCGCCATTTGTGCGCACCACGTCGAACACCCCGTCCTGCACCATGTCGACCTAGCTCGATGGTGTTTCTCCCAGTACGGGTTGCGCCCGGATCGCTCTACGATCGGCCGCATCCTAAAAACCGGAGAGCGATGGGCTATGACATCCGACGGCGACAACCCGGTGCGCCGTCGGGGAGGCGCCTGGCCTGAGCTGGAGCAGGCCATGGGGCGGTGGATAGCAAACGCAGAACCCGCTGGTGTGCCCCTCACACTCCAAACCATCCGCGACCATGTCGCGGCGATTGCCAGGAACATGGGCATTCCGCCCACCTTCCGATGCTCGATCGGCTGGGTGCGCCGTGCATTGCGGCGCCAGGGCGTGAGATGCCGTGCGGCACAGGGCGAGGCCGCCAGCGCAGATATGGCGGCCGTGCGCGACGCCCGTGAGAAGATGCCGCGACTCCTCACGCAGCTCGGCGTCGCCCCGCGGGACACCTTCAACCTCGACAAGACTGCTCTCTGGCTGTCGGTGCTTCCGCGGCGCACGTACAGCAGCGGCCGCATACCAGGCCGCAAGGTCTCGAAGGAGCGATTGACTGTCGCATTCCTCGTGAATGCGGACGGTAGCCATGCTTTCCGGCCGCTTGTGATCAGCAAGGCGAAGAGGCCGCATGACTTCCGGCCCGACTACGACCCTGAGGCGCTATGCTACTGGCGCCATAACGCTAAAGGGTGGATGACCTCGCCAGTAAGCATCTTTGCGTTCGATGTGCACATTTTTGAGTCTCATTGCTTTTTAGCGCAATTTTTTCATGTGTCTGTTCTCACGATGATGCCGACCGTGCCCCCTTCTTCCATGCCATCCCGTCCAACAGGTATTCACGCATTTCATTACTCAACTCAACGCGTCGATGTTTGCCGAGGGTCGCAAAACAGTGGTGCTGCTGGACAACGCGAGCAGCCACATGCTGCGCTCTCAAGATGCATGGAGCGAGATCGTGTGCGGCGTCAGGACCACGTGCATAAGCCACGTGCGGCTTGTCTTCCTGCCGCCCAATACCACGGCATTCACTCAGCCGCTTGACCAGGGCATAATCGCCACCGCGAAGGCCCGCTACCGCCAGCATTGGCTGCGGGCCTTCTCGGGTTTATGGAACGCCGACGGAGCGACTTCCGCGGTTGCTCGATTCAGGCCGAATCTGCGAGATGTGCTCGGGTGGCTGTCGGAGTCGTGGACCTCCGTCGGCGCGCGCACCATTCAACGGTGCTGGTGGCGCACGGGGTGTCTTCCCCTCTCGTGGTCACTGGAGCTGCCGCACGTGCATGACGACGAGCCCATCCCCGCAGCTTATCCCGACATCGAACTCGACGATGACATCGATGATGTCGGGACGCTTATTAACAGGCTTGCCCTCGGGGATGCGGCAATGACGGCGGCGGAATACGTCGCCATCGACGACGCGAAGCCCACGTGTGCGGAAGGCACGGCACACCCGCCCGTGACAGAGGAAGAGATGCGCTTGGAGGTGGAGCTCTGGCAGGCGCCGACGACCATGCAGGCCGTCTACGACGACGCCGACCCCGTGTGCCGTGAAGCGCGCCGCACTGCTCGTGCGGCGTGCGAGATGCTCATCGGCTACGCCCGGGCCACCCGCATCACTCCGCGCGATCTGTGCGCTCTTTTCGACATCCGCAATCCAATCGTAATCGCGCGGATGGAGCGGGCGAGCCCGGGATTCAATCTCAACGCAACCCCCACTCCCGAGACCCCTCGTCCGCGGGGCCGTGTGCTGCCCGACTGGATGACCCGCCCGTCCCTGCTACAGCCGCCACCGGCCCCTGCTACAGCCCGCCGCCGGCCCTGCTACAGCCCGCCGCCGGCCCTGCTACAGCCCGCCGCCGGCCCTGCTACAGCCCGCCACCGGCCCTGCTGCAGCCCGCCGTGCTGCACGTGAGCAGCCCCAGCAGCCCGCGCCGCCCGTGAGCCCCTACGCCACCCGAGCCGCGTGAGCCGCCCGAGCCGCCCGAGCCGCCCGAGCCGCCCGAGCCGCCCGAGCCGCCCGAGCCGCCCGAGCCGCCTGAGCCACGCGAGCCACCTGAGGAGCCGTGCTGCTGTCCCTGAGCTGTGTTCCTCTGCTGCTGACCTACCCGACTCCTCCAGCCCGGTGAGACTTTCAGCTGCTGCCATGGCCACCCCCAATGTTCTTACTTTTGACGCTGAGGGGAGGGCCATTGACTTTGCCGTCTGGATTGAAGACCTACAGCTGTACTTACTGTGTGATGCGATAGATGAGGTCTCTCTCTTTGACTTTGTCTCTGGAGCTGTCCCTGCCCCGCCTGCTGATGCTGACTCTGCCGTTCGCTCCAAGTGGGCGACCCGCGATGCTGCTGCACGTCTTGCTGTGCGTCGCCACCTCCCTTCCTCTGAGCGTGCCCACTTTAGTCAGTGCAAGACCGCTCAGGCCTTGTACGACGCTGTAGTTGCACGCTACTCCTCCCCTTCCTCCGCTACCCTTAGCCGCCTCATGCTACCGTTTCTCTTCCCTGACCTCGCTTCCTTTCCCACTGTCGCTGACCTCGTTACCCACCTCCGTGCTAGTGACGCTCGCTACCGCGCTGCCCTTCCTGCTGAGTTCCGCGCCGCAAACCCTCCTCCCATGTATATCACTCTCTACTTTCTCGTCACCCGTCTTCCTGAGTCCCTTCGTGTCGTTAGGGACCAGTTTCTCTCTGTCTGTCCCACCACCCTCACTGTCGACCTCCTTGAGGAGTCCCTGCTAGCGGCTGAGAAGAGTATAGTCGCTGTAGGGGCCTCTAGGGGTGACCCTCGCACCCCCATCTTTGAGGGGTGTTCTCCTTCCCCCCTGCTGCCCTCTGTCGCCTCTGCTGCTACGGCCGACCTCGCTGGTTTTGAGTCGGTCGGTGCGGCGTCTGCCCCCAGCGGCAGACGCCGCTCTGGCAAGGGCAAGGGGGGCAAGGGAGCGGGTGGATCTAGAGGAGGCAGTGGCGGAGGAGGTGGGGGTGGCGGGGGGAGTGGGGGTGGCGGTGGAGGTGGTGGCGGGAGTGGAGGTACTAGTGGCGGCGGTGGAGGCGGAGGTGGCGGCGGAGGTGGTAGCGGAGGAGGCGGTGGGAGCGGTGGGAGCGACGGTCCTGGTGGGGGAGGTGGCGGTGGAGACGGGGGTGGCGGTGGAGGCGGGGGTGGTGATCGAGGCGGGGGTCGGAGTGGCTCGTCCCAGCGGAGCAGCTCTGGGGGTGGTCAGCGCCAGCAGCAGCAGCAGCAGCAGCAGCAGCAGCAGCAGCCGCAGCAGCAGCAGCGCTCTCGCACCGTCCCCGGCCCTCAGCAGCTCCGTGAGTGGTACTTGCAGCGTCAGCGCGGTGGTGCTCTTGGTCCCTGCCCCTACGTTCTTCGCACCGGTGACCGTGCGGGGGAGAGGTGTGGAGGCGCCCACACAGCCCGTCGCTGCTTTGGCCGCCTGACCGACGCCTGGCGTCAGCAGTTTCCGGAGGCCGCTGAGATCCCCCGCTGGGGAGAGCTGTCTAGGGCTGGAGTGGCTATTTATGATCTTGACTTTGATGCTATTCTCTCTGCTATGTATGCTGTGACTGGTAGTGATGAGGATGACTGTTACCGGTGTTTCCCGCCCGACCCGGGCATTGGTACTGCCGCGTCAGGTACTAGTGAGGCTGCTGCTCTAGGTGCCAGTGCGTCTGTTCTCTCAGGTGCTGGTGAGTCTGCCCTCTCAGGTACTGTGTCGGCTTCGGCCTCTCACACCTTCACCCTTGACTCTGGAGCGTCTCGCTCCTTCTTTAGGGACCGCACCACTCTCACGCCGCTGAGTCGGCCGGTTGCAGTGTCCCTGGCTGACCCCTCTGGGGGACCTGTCCTGTCTCGCTTCTCCACTGTCCTCCCGTGTCCGGCGGCCCCCTCTGGCACCCTGACTGGTCTCTACCTCCCCTCGTTCTCGACGAACTTGGTGAGTGGTGCTGACCTCCAGGATGCGGGTGTCCACCAGTTCACCCCTGCTCGTCAGCGGGTGACCCACTGCACGGAGGAGGATACAGGTCGCCACCTGGCTACGTTTACACGTCGGCCAGGGTCGAGCCTGTACACACTGACCACTGCTTCTCCTCCAGGTGCTGAGTCTGGTAGGGTCCCTTCGTCTGGTCAGGTGTTTGCTGCAGCGTCCAGGTCTGGTCCTGAGTCTGCCCCCTGCTCGTGTCGTCGTCTGTCTCACGAGACCCTCCTCTGGCACCACCGCCTTGGCCACCCCTCTCTGCTTCGGCTCAGAGGCATGGCCTCGCGAGTCCTTGTGTCTGGTCTTCCCCGGTCTCTCCCTCCCCTTCCTCCGGGCCCTGGCCCCACCTGTGTCCCCTGCGTCGAGGGGCGCCAGCGTGCTGCCCCTCACTCCTCCCAGTTTCCTCCGACAGAGGCCCCGTTGCAGACGCTTCACATGGACGTGTGGGGCCCAGCCCGTGTCCGTGGACAGGGTCAGGAGCGCTACTTCCTGCTGGTGGTTGACGACTACTCGCGTTACACCACAGTCTTCCCCTTGCGCAGCAAGGGTGAGGTCACTGAGGTGCTGATCGACTGGATCCGCGCAGCTCGTCTTCGGCTTCGGAGGAGCTTTGGCTCTGACTTCCCTGTTTTGCGTCTGCACTCGGACAGAGGTGGAGAGTTCTCCTCCGGCCTCCTGAGTGCCTACTGTCGTGTGCGAGGCATCCGTCAGACCTTCACGCTTCCGGACTCACCGCAGCAAAATGGGATTGCTGAGCGCCGCATTGGCATGGTCATGGACGTCGCTCGTACGTCCATGATGCATGCGGCTGCTCCCCATTTTCTGTGGCCGTTTGCGGTCAGGTACGCTGCGCACCAGATCAACCTCCACCCCAGGGTCTCTCGACCGGAGACCTCCCCAGCCCTGCTGTGGACCGGGAAGGTTGGCGATGCGTCGGCGTTCCGGGTCTGGGGATCTCGGGCGTTTGTTCGCGACCTGTCTGCGGACAAGCTGTCCCCTCGTGCTTCTCCCTGCGTCTTCCTGGGGTTCCCCCCCGACGCCCCTGGGTGGCAGTTTTACCACCCCACCTCTCGACGTGTTCTGTCCTCCCAGGACGTCACGTTCGACGAGTCGGTGCCCTAATACCGCCTCTTCCCCTACCGCACTCCGTCCCTCCCCCCACCCCCGCTCTTCTTGGTACCAGGTCCCCCCCCGGTAGTCCCCCTCCCCCCTCAGGGTCCTGCCCCTTCAGGTGTGTCCCAGGTAGACGCGGTCGAGCCTGTCGAGGTCACTGGTGACTCTGGTACTGCTGCGGGAGCTGAGCCTGGGGGTGCGGAGTCTGGGGGTGCTGAGCCTGGAGGTGCCGAGTCTGGGGGTGCTGAGCCTGGAGGTGCCGAGTCTGGGGGTGCTGTGCCTGGGGGTGCTGAGCCTGGGAGTGCTGAGCCTGGGGGTGCCGTGCCTGGGGGTGCTGTGTCTAGGGGTGCTGAGCCTGGAGGTGCTGTGCCTGGGGGTGCTTCGTCTCGCCGGGAGCCACTCTCCCCACAGGAGCTGCGTGAGTGGTTTGCCGGGCGCTGGAGGCGTGCTGCTGGTGCTGGTGGTTCTTCAACTGCAGAGGGTACTGCTGCTGCGCGCTTCGCCGGCGCTCGTACTGTGGGTGCTGGAGCTGCTGAGTCTGAGAGTTCTCCTGGAGCTGGTCGTACTGAGGGTGTTGGCGCTGAGCCTGCCGTTGGCGGCCCTACTGACAGTGCTCCTGGTGCTGCGGCTGGAGGTTCTAGAGCTTCTGGTGGTGCTGCTGGAGGTGCTGCTGGAGTGGGTGCTCCTGCCGGGGCTGCTGGTGCTGTTCCTGCTGTTTCTAGCGTCGCCGCGCGGCCCCGACCGTACTTCGTTCCGCTCCTGCAGCAGGTTCTTGGTCTTCCACCTCCTCCTCCTCCCTTAGAGGGTCCGCAGCCTGTCCGGTCACAGCCACAGCTACAGCCTGCCTCCCCTTTGCCTGCTCCTTCTCCCTACGCTGGTCCGACTGGAGGTCTTACTGAGCGTCGTGAGCCTGCGTCTCGTCCTGTGTCGCCTGTTCGTACTGAGCGCGCTAGTGGTCGCGGTTCGCGTCAGCGTCCTCCTCCTGTCCCTGGCACGCACCGGATGTCACTGCGTCCGTCCACTGCTCCTCTGCGTGCCCCTTTGCCTTCTCCTCCTGCTTCCTCTCTTCCTGCTCTTGCCGACCCGGAGTCGGACGCTCTTCGTGCTGCCAGTCCTACTGTCACGCGTCTCCTGGCTACTGCTGTCACTGACCCCTCCTTCGAGTCGTCTGCTGCGTCTGCCCTTGTCACTGAGCTTGTCGACTTTGCTGCGCGCTGTCGTCTAGACTACGCTGCTCGTCTTGTCACTGAGTCTGAGTCCGCCTGTCCTCCGTCCGTCGGGGGTGAGTGTGCCCTTGGCACGGACGTCCTTGAGGACAGGCAGGAGGAGTTCCAGTGTCTAGCCGCCGCTTCACCTCGTCTCGCGTCTGTACTGCTAGCCCCTGAGGGAGACCCGGATGCACCAGACATCCCGACTCCGCGTTCTTACGCGGAGGCGATAGAGGGTCCCTACTCCTCTCAGTGGCAGGCAGCTATGGATGCAGAGATGGCTTCCTGGAAGTCCACAGGCACCTACGTTGACGCTGTTCCCCCTCCTGGGGCGAACATCGTCAGTGGCATGTGGATTTTCAGGGTGAAGCGGCCGCCGGGTTCTCCGCCTGTCTTCAAGGCGCGTTACGTGGCTCCTGGCTTCAGTCAGCGGCAGGGGGTTGACTACTTTCAGACCTTCTCCCCCACCCCGAAGATGACCACTCTTCGGGTTCTGCTACACGTTGCTGCTCACCGTGACTACGAGCTGCACTCTCTCGACTTCAGCACAGCTTTCTTGCAGGGCAGCCTGCACGAGGAGATCTGGCTGCGTCGCCCACCTGGCTTCACTGGGTCTTT